TTTTAAAACAAACGTCGTTTAAAGTTAAAACCATGGCCATTTTTACACAGAAAATGACGTACAAACAATATTCCACGACCTCAACTCTTAAGTTCTCGCCGTCTAATATCAACCAAACGACGTCGTCTATAGAACCAAGAGCGTCATTTGAAATACCTTTTACGTCTCTTTTTAAAAAACTATGACGTTGTTATGTGTGTACAACGCCATTTTAAAGAAACGACGGTTTAGAAATGCGCCCTTCGATAATCATCGACGGAAAACAAAAAAAAGGGCCCAAACCCAGGCCAAACAAATAGAAGACCATTTGTGGAGAGACAAACAAGTGGAATGCAAAAAATTACCGCAAACTTCAGTGTCCGATTGTAGAGAGTCACAAGACCAGAGAAAAGCCTAACAGCATACTCAGCAATGTCCTCAGATTCATACTCTGCAAAAGCATAACCTTTAGGTCTATCGGTTTCCTTGTCCCGAGGAATGTGTAGGTCTACTAACCTCCCCGCCTGAATTAGAATATCATACAAAACTCTCTCACTCACTCGCTCGTCCAAATTACCTGTTAAAAATAAATGTCATATAATCATAACAGAATAAATAATAAACTTAGATGTGACAGACATAATTAACAGAAAAAAATTAATGAAGATAGAAGCAGAGGGGCAAAGTACATGTTACCATTTATTAGATTAGTTTTATTAATCATTACCATTTATTCTGAAAATTAATTCTTCATCATAGATATAACAATTTAATTCCCTACAATACAAGAGTCATTCAGCAGAAACACTTTTCACACTAAATTTTGAATCTTGAAATTCTCATTGGCACCCAGAAGCACATACTTATCCACACACACTTTTTTTATATATAAAAAAAATGAAAATAATATATGAAAACCAATTCCTAAGAGGAAAAGACAAAAAAAAAACCAGCTTCCATCAAACAAGCATGGAAAAGAATTAATTTTTTGAAATGATGTTTTCGAGTTACTGACTTTAAGGGGAACTGCTACTAGAGAATTAAAAAAAATTTGAAGGAGCAGTGTACTGACCTATGTAAACACTGGATTTTGAGTGCGTGGACATGGTGGGTTGAACTTCCTTAGCAGTTGGATCGGAGGCGGAACCCTAGCTCGAAACGACGTAGTGAAAGGCAGACAAAAACGACCCCTGTGCTTCGTTTGAAGAGAGAAGGTGCAATGTTGACCTTAAAATCTTACAACGAAGGAGGAGCGTCGTTCGATTTATTTATACTGTTTACTAGTATTCCTTTTTAAAGGCTGTAATGAATAATACAACGACACGTCTTCTTTCCCTCTCCTCTCCGGAAAGGAAAGGACAAAAAATAATTAAATTTAGCAATTTTCGTATTCTGTTATTTTTTTGGGAAATAGCGGTATATGCCACCCATTTTATAATCTTAACTAAAAATACCACCCCTTCCCAATTTTTTTACAACTACCACATATAAATATATAATTATTGTCCACTTATTGTACCCATATCAATTTTTCAGAAATTGGCTTCTCTCTCTACTCTATCTCTTCGGCCCGTCTCTCTCCCTCGTGTACCTCTCTCTCTCCGACGCAATTGTCTTTCTCCCTCAGCAGTGGCTGTTCATCCTCTCCACCGTTGACATCCATGAGGTACTCTTCATATACCTTTTCTTTGAAATTTGGTTTATGGTGTACGGATTTGTAAGAAATTGGTTTAGGGTTTTAGTGTTTAGGGGTTACTCAGAAATTGGGTTTGGGTTTATGGGTTTCTATGAACTGGGTAATAACTCACACCCACTCTCACTCGCTCGCAGGCACTGTTTCACAGAAATCAAACTCTTCATTTTGTCACAGAACGTTTGGGCTTCGTTCAGCTTTGTTTGGGTAAGTCCCAACTATCTATATTGTTTGATGAGATTTTAAGCTCTGGGCTCTGTGATTTCTACAAGAATTAATTCCACAATATTCTGATTTTACTTGTTCAAATCAAAGCAAAGGAAGGGACGTTGTTTATGGATGGGTAATTGTCAAAAACGACTTCTGGAATCTACATGCTTATAATCAAATTTTGCAGATTGTCAATGGTCCACAGTCCACATTTGAGACTGAGAATTTTGTATGTTCTTGTTAGGCTGGTTTTGTTTTACCTCTTCAATCATTGTTAGCATATGGTTCTCTGGAACTTTTGAATAAATTGTTTAATCAGATGTCCAAACTATTGGAATTAATATCTTAATGTCGTAATGCATTTCATTTTCAGGCAATGTGCAAGGATAGCCGCATTGTTCCTGGAGCGGCAACTACTGAAATTGAGTTAGCTAAGAGAGTAAAGGAATTCTCTTTTACAGAAACATGGTAAATGGCGTGAATTATTATTTTCTCAAGATGTTGTCCCTGAAACATAAAATAAAATATTGATGTCTAGACCAACTATTGGAACTTGATTTTGTAACCATTTTCCCAGTCATAGATTTCTGATTGGGCAGTAGTGCAATAACCTACTAAAGAAACAATGGTTTTGCAGATTGGATCAGTATGCTATAGCAAAATTTGCCGAAAGCTTTGAGATGGTGCCTAAAACGCTAGCTGAAAATGCTGGGCTTAATGCAATGGAGATCATATCTTCTCTATATGCTGAACATGCATCAGGAAATACCAAAGTTGGCCTCGACTTGGAGGAAGGCCGTTGCAAAGATGTGTCAACTCTTAATATTTGGGACCTCCACATAACTAAGTAAGCTGCTCTTTGTCTTGTAACAGTTCATGCTTTTATGTGAAAGTTCTCAATACATTGAATGTTGTTACAGCTGTGATGTTTGATGCAATTTTGGTTCTGAATTTTCATTAATTTTGGATCTAGAATTTGTTTGTAGAGGAAGCTTTTATTAGTAATCCCATTTTTGGTGGTTTTGATAGCCAATTAGTTCCTGTTGCGTACATTAATGGTTCATCTTATTGGTATCCTTTCTGTTGATTTTCTGTATCAAAGTGTGACTAACTGGCATGGGTGTTTTGAGGATTGTGGTGCATTTTGAAGTCCATTGGCCGGCTAATAGGGCTAGGAGGTTATGCATATATGATGTATAAAATTTAGTTCATGATTTGGTGGTCTAACAACTACATCTTTGTGCTGAAAGCCTTTATTCACCAGGGGACCCAGTCATTCTGTTATTTTCTTTATTATATTTCATTTGTGTAAATAATTAAGCCACATATCCACTACGAAAGGTTTCTTATCTTTCTTTTTCAGTAAATGGTTGGTTTCTAGAGGATAATAGAGTGACAATGCCAACCTTTTTATTTTTTATTTGTTTTACAAATAGCATTGATGGTTTGCATTTAGGATTTTTAGGAATTATAGCATTCGGGAATAAGTGAGGATTTCTTTGGATAACTGATAAATAGTAACTTGGAAACATCTCGACTTCAAACATTTTGGGTATTTTATGAACTTTAGATAGTTCTGTTTCATTAATTTATTGAAATCAACATGTTTAAGTTGGCCAGGAAGTTGTTTCGTATGAGATATAGGTATCAATCTTCTTTCTTGGGCTGTTTGTTGCAGGTTCTTTGCTCTCAAGTATGCTGCAGATTCTGCCTGCACTGTTCTACGGGTAGATCAGGTAACTAGTAACTACGTATTTGTCAATGGTTTTCCTAATTTTGAAGTACCCAAATTTGGTATAAACTACATCTTTGAATCCATGATTGCATCTTTGAGGCCAAAGCAGAAAAAATG